TAAGTGCAGGCCAAGGTCTTTAGGCACTGCACCCAGTGTGCTGATCACCACTGGGACCACCTTGACTGGTTTATGCCAGAGTCTTTGCAGTTCGATCTTTAAATCCTCATATCATCATCATCATCATCTTTCTTAAATTGTGCTGCCCTGAACTGAACACAGTCTTATTCCAGGTGGATAAGTCTATTATTATTATTATTATTATTATTATTATTATTATTATTAGTAGTAGTAGTAGTAGTAGTAGTATCATTATATCATCATCATCATCCCTCTTAAATTGTGGTGCCTAAAATTGGACACAGTCTTATTCCAGCTGAATAAGAGTATTATTAGTATTAATATTAGTAGTAATATGATTACATTATTATTATCATCATCATCACCATCATCTTTCTTAAATTGTACTGTCCAGAATTGAACACAGTCTTATTCCAGGTAGATAAGTCTATTATTATTATTATTATTAGTAGTAGTAGTAGTAGCAGTAGTAGTAATAGTAGTATCATTATATCATCATCATCATTCCTCTTAAATTGTGGTGCCCATAATTGGATGCAGACTTATTCCAGCTGAATAAATTATTATTATTATTATTATTATTATTATTATTATTATTATTATTATTATTATTAATAATAATAATAATAACAATAACAATAATAGTAATGTGATTGCATTATTATTATCATTATTATCATCAACATCATATCTTAAATTGTGCTGCCCAGAATTAAACAAAATCATATTCCAGGTGAATAAGTCTATTATTTTTATTATTATCATTAGCAGTAGTAGTATCATTATATCATCATCATTATCTCTCCTAAATTGTGGTGTCCAAAATTGGACGCAGTCTTATTCCAGCTGAATAATAATAATAATAATTAGTAGTAGTAGTAATAGTAGTAAGTAATCATATTACTTCTAGTAGTAGAAATAATATGATTACATTATTATTACTACTATGATGATGGTGATGATGATGATATTATTATTAATTTGTTATTTATTTACAGTATTTATATACCGCTTTTCTCATCCTTAGGGGGACTCAAAGCGGTTTATTAACTCTCTTAAATTGTGCTGTCTAGAATTGAACACAGTTTTATTCCAAGTGGATAAGGCTATCATCATCATCATCATCATTATTATCTCTTGAACTGCTTTGCCCAGAATGGAACACAGTCTTATTCCAGGTCAAGAGGTCTGACCAAAGTCGAAGAGAATGGCACCAGGACTTCTTCCCTCGATCTGGACACGAGACTCCTTTGGATGCAGCCTAAAATCCCATTGGCCTTTCCAGCTGCTGCATCCACACTCTTGGCTCACATTCCACTTGTTGTCCACAGAGAGACTGAGGTCTGGTGGGGAAGGGCCTTTTCATGACACAACTGTAATGATGGTTTCCCTTTCTCCTGGGTGCAGGTGTGACGCTGGCACTGGCTTTGCGCCCGTACCGGATGAGCTACCGGCAGATCAAGTACTTCTCCTTCCCCGGGGAGCTCCTGATGCGGATGCTGCAGATGCTGGTGCTGCCGCTCATTGTCTCCAGTCTCATCACAGGTTGGGCTTCTATATTGTATCCATAGTATCTCATTCATATGGTCTATTCAATACTTTGCATTAATTACTCAATATTTTATTTATTTCTCATGTCAGGGGAGCCAGTCAATTATATTACATTTCTAACAGAACAAAGCAAACAAACAGAGAAAATACAAAATGTGTGAGTTTGGTAGTTGATTAAATGTCCTTTGACCAGTATCTGGCCACTTGGAGTGCTTCTGGTGTTGCTGCAAGAAGGTCCTCCATTGTGCATGTGGCAGGGCTCAGGTTGCATTGCAGCAGGTGGTCAGTGGTTTGCTCTTCTCCACACTCGCATGTCATGGATTCCACTTTGTGGCCCCATTTCTGAAGGTTGGCTCTGCATCGTGGTGCCAGAGCGCAGTCTGTTCAGCGCCTTCCAAGTCGCCCAGTCCTGTGTGTGCCCAGGGGGGAGTCTCTCATTTGGTATCAGCCATTGGTTGAGGTTCTGGGTTTGAGCCTGCCACTTTTGGACTCTCGCTTGCTGAGGTGTTCCAGTGAGTGTCTCTGTAGATCTTAGAAAACTATGTCTGGATTTAAGTCGTTGACGTGCTGGCTGATACCCAAACAGGGGATGAGCTGGAGATGTCTCTGCCTTGGTCCTTTCACTATTGGCTGCCACTTCCCGGCGGATGTCAGGTGGTGCAATACTGGCTAAGACAGTGTAATTTCTCCAGTGGTGTAGGGCGCAGACACCCCGTGATAATGCGGCATGTCTCATTAAGAGCCACATCCACTGTTTTAGTGTGGTGAGATGTGTTCCACACTGGGCATGCATACTCAGCAGCGGAGTAGCACAGCACAAGGGCAGATGTCTTCACTGTATCTGGTTGTGATCCCCAGGTTGTGCCAGTCAGCTTTCGTATGACATTGTTTCTAGCACCCACTTTTTGCTTGATGTTCAGGCAGTGCTTCTTGTAGGTAAGAGCACGGTCCAGAGTGACTCCCAGGTATTTGGGTGCGCTGCAATGCTCCAGTGGGATTCCTTCCCAGGTGATCTTCAGAGCTTGGGATGCTTCTCTGTTCTTGAGATGAAAGGCACATGTCTGTGTTTTAGATGGGTTGGGGATCACCCAATCAATAAATCAATCAATCAATAATCATCATGTTATACTCTACTTATACAATCCAATTTTAAAAAATGAAATAACATACCCAAAGGGCCGCCAAATATTCTATCTTGCGGCTGGGTGGCCATTGTGGATTGGACTGGCAGAAGCAGGGTCAGACTGGATGGCTCTTAGGGTTCCCTTCCAACATTTAGGAATCATTTTTGGCTTTTTATCCCAGGTATGGCTTCCCTGGACGGCAGTGCCTCGGGCAAGATGGGGATGCGGGCCGTCATTTACTACATGATGACCACCATCATTGCCGTCTTCATTGGGATCTTCATGGTCCTCATCATCCACCCAGGAAAAGGCAGCAAGGAGAAGCTCCATCGCGAAGGCAAGATCGAGCAAGTCCACACCACCGATGCCTTCATGGACCTCATCCGGTGAGATGGTTGTTTGGGGTCCCAAGGTGTTTCCATGCCATTCTTAGGCTTATAGGGCTGGAAGGGTCCCCCAGAGGCCATCTAGTCCATCTCTGAGGGAACGTGCACCTCACTTCCCCCCCTTGGCGCCTCTGCATAGAATCCTGGAATCCTGGAGTTGGAAGAGACCTCATGAGCCATCCAGTCCAACCCCATTTTGCCAAGAAGCAGGAAAATCGCATTCAAAGCACCCCTACATCTAATTATATTCTAGTCAATAATATAATGATGATATAACAATTATATAATAATGTATTATAATAAAATATAACAATAATATATAACATATAATTATAATATAATAATAAAATATAATAATGTATAATAATAATGCTGGACACCACAATTTAAGAGAGATGATGATAATAATTATAATATAATATAATCATATATAATACTAAAATATATCATAATAATCAAATACCTTAATAAAATATGATAATAATATATTATATAGTAGTCTGGACACTACAATTGAAGAGGATGATGATGATAATAATAATATAATAATAATAACAACAATAATATAATAATGAAATATAATAACATATAAAATATAATAACAATATAAGGAGCCCCCGGTGGTGTAGTGGGTTAAACCCCTGTGCCGGCAGGACTGAAGACCGACAGGTCGCAGGTTCGAATCCAGGGAGAGGCAGATGAGCTCCCTCTATCAGCTCCAGCTCCTCATGCGGGGACATGAGAGAAGCCTCCCACAAGGATGATAAAACATCAAATCATCTGGGCGTCCCCTGGGCAACGTCCTTGCAGATGGCCAATTCTCTCACACCAGAAGTGACTTGCAGTTTCTCAAGTTGCTCCTGACAACCAAAAAAACCAAAAATATAATAATAATAATAATAATAATAATAATAATAATAATAATAATAATTATTATTATTATTATTATTATTTTGGACACCACAAAGAGAGATGATGATGATGATAATGTCATTATAATATACTACAATAATATGTAATACTAAAATATAATAATAATAATAGACTATGATAAAATACAATTATATATAATATAGTAATATTCTGGACATCACCACTGAAGAGAGATGATGACAATTATAATAATACTATAATAATATAAAATATATAAAATATAATAATAATATAATAATAAAATACAATAATGTATAATAATAATACTGGATGCCACAGTTTAAGAGAGATGTTGATAAAAATAAAATAATAATAATATATCTATAATAATAAAATATAATACTAAAGTAAATAACAATAAGATACTGTAATAAAATATTATAATAATATATAATAATTCTAGGCACCACAATTTAAGAGATGATGGTGATAATTATAACTATATATACACAATAAAGTAATATAATAATAATAATAATAATAATTCTGGTTACAATTTCAGAAAGATGATGGTGATGATAATATAATAGTATATAATAATAAAATATAATAATAATTTTAACATGGCTCTCTTTGTGACTCTTCCCTCCTGCATCTAATAACATTCTAGTAGAATATTATTTTAAAATTCTATATATCCTCTATAACAACTTTAACCAACACCATGCTTCTCCCCTTGAGGACATTGCACATCAACGTCTACATCTAATGGCATTCTAGTCGAACACCCTCACAATGTTTTAAATATATAATTTAAATATCTATTTCTCCATATTATTTCTGTTTCATCTTTAGGCAACAAAAGAGAACAACAACAAAAAAGTGACTAAAATACCTTTTTTTCCAAATGTTGTAATTGCATTTAATTGTTTTGATTTATAGGAATATGTTCCCACCCAACCTTGTAGAAGCCTGCTTCAGACAGGTAAGGAAATGGTTGCATTTGCTCACATTTCCTCTTTTTCTTCCTTCTCTTGTCCTATCCAGACTGCTTTATGTTGCCTTCCCTAAAACTTGATTTAACTTGAAGTCAAGAACATTGAGTTAGGCTTATTTACTTTGCTCTTCAGGACCATATTTAATATATGTATATTGTATATATATATATAATGTAATACTAATACTGATAATACAATAATTATAATTATATATTTTATATTACATGTAATATCACTAATAATATTACAATATAATGGTATATACAATATAGTAATATATAATACTGATATTGTACTATGCTAATAATATAATATATTGTATGTATATATATATATCTTGTAAGCCACTCTGAGTCCCCTTTGGGGTGAGAAACGTGGCATATAAATGTTGTAAATAAATAAATAAATAAATATGAATATCATAGTCAGGGATGGCAGGCAGGCTTTTTTGTGTCAGACAGAATACTAATAGTCACCTAATAGTCACACTTTCCCCCTTTTTTCCTCATCAGAAAAGGGGGTGCGACTATTACATGAGGAAAAAATATTGGAATTTATCTCCATTTAAAAAAAAAAAAAACAAACCAAAATGCCTTAACTTCAAATGAGGATATCAACCTCCCAACAAAGGATTCTTCCAGACAGCAACAGCCAGACTTTGAAGCTGCAAAGCCAATAAAGGCTAATCAAGGTGGCCAATTGCGACATTAACACTTGCCTCCAACAGACAAGAGTTCTTTCTCCCACCCTGGACACCATTCCACAAAGATAAAAACCCCACATGCCTAGTTTCCAACACACCACACAACCTCTGAAGATGCCTACCATCGATGTAGGCGAAACGTCAGGAGACAATGCTTCTGGAACATGGCCATGCAGCCTGGAAAACTTGCAGCAACCCAGATAGATAGGTATAATATAATGTAACAATTTATTATATTATTTATATACATTAATTAAAAATAAATTATTATATTATATAGTATTATCTCTATCTGGGTTGCTGTGAGTTTTTTGGGCTGTATGGCCATGTTCCAGAAGCATTCTCTCCTGACGTTTCGCCCATATCTATGACAGGCATCTTATGGGCAAAATGGCATTATTACAATATAATATATTACATTATAATTAGTATTACATTATAATGATTATATTGTTTATATACATTAATTAGAAGCCCTCGGTGGCACAGTGGGTTAAACTGCTGAGCTGCTGAACTTGCTGATTGAAAGGTCTCATGTTCGAATCGGGGGAGAGGCATGAGCTCCTGCTGTTAGCCCCAGCTTCTGCCAACCTAGCAGTTCAAAAACATGCACATGTGAGTAGATCAATAGGTACCACTCCAGTGGGAAGATAAGGGTGCTCCATGCAGTCATGACCTTAGAGGTGTCTATGGACAATGCTGGCTCTTCAGCTTAGAAATGGAGATGAGCACCAACCTGGAGAGTCGGACACAACTGGACTTAATGTCAGGGGAAAACTTTTACCTTTACTACACATTAATTATAGTGTTATGTGATGAAATAACAGTACTTAATCAGAGTGACAAATGCTCTGGGTGGATTGAAGGGTGATTTCCCAACATTCCCTTTCAGTACAAGACGCAGTACAGCCTCCGCCTGGTCAACCGGACTGCTGGGAAAAGCCTCTCAGACGCTGCTACTGCTCCTCGTCCTCCGCTGCTACAGAACCTCAGCCTCGGAAACGGTGCCTTCAATGCCTCCTCCTCCTCCACTCCGGCATTGCTGGAGGAGGCCACGACTGTCTGGCGCAACGTGACGCAGGCGCTGGCTGGGGGGGCGGCGGGGGTGGCCCACGAGGAGGAGGAAGTGGTGCCCGGCCCAGGGTCGGTCAACGGGGTCAACGCCCTGGGCCTGGTGGTCTTCTCCATCTGCTTTGGGTTGGTCATTGGGAACATGAAGCAGAAGGGTCAGGCCCTGCGGGAGTTCTTTGACTGCCTCAACGAAGCCATCCTGCGCATGGTCTCCGTCATCATCTGGTGAGCAGTGTCACGAATAACTTTGCAATAACTTTAAAACATAGGTTCTTTTTATTGCAATTTCCAGTGTGAGAGGGTAGATCAGAACTTATACAGAACTTTTACACATAGAACGACATTGGACATACATATTCTATGTAACTACATTAGATTCACAAATACCGTACAGTTAACATTGCCTAACAAACAAACAAAGAAAGGTTTTATTTTTATTCAGTATTCACACCCATATAAACATGCATTCATCCTCATGCATACATCACCATTTCTCCTGCTGTCTCTTGGAGAAGAACATCTCTTAGGCCAGACCCTGCTTTCCCTGCAGCCTGCCAACACGCAATTCCAAAACTTCCATAACACCAAAACTTAACTATTGTGTTCTGGGTTTGACTTGAAAGAGCATTGTTTTTGATTAATATAAACAGCCTTCAGAGTTAATAGTTTCTGGTCTGCAAATGTTGACAGATGTAAACATTTATCTTATCACCGTCACAGTTCTTATTAAGTTTATTTTTCTCAGTTCTCATTAGCAACTTTTAATTACAATCCAGCATGCAGGTAGAGTTAGTCATTGCAGGCCTTGGTCTTTTAGAATGGTGTCTTCAAAATTATTAGCTCTCACTCATTCATTTCTTTCATTCAGTTCATTAATATCATATATCAAATCCACATTTGTCAAATCTGCATATTAAATTTCTCATGACAGCAAGAGAAGTGTTAAAATGTTTTAAAATTATCAGCTCGTTCAGTTGGAGGAGACCCCAAGGGCCATCCAGTCCAACCCCCTTCTGCCAGGCAGGAAGATAGATTTACTACATCATCATCATCATCGTTGTTGTTGTTGTTATTGTTGTTGTTGTTATTATTATTATTATTATTATTATTATTATTATTATTATTATGCCAGGCAGGTAGATTTACTATATTATTATTATTATTATTATTATTATTATTACTATCATCATCATCCTCCTCCTATACATGAGAGGAGCCATGTATAAATATGTGAAAGGATGCCATAAGGAAGAGGGAGCAGGCTTCCTTTCTGCTGCCCAATGGAGCAATGGGTTTAAATGACAGGAAAGGAGAAATATTAGGAAGAAATTCTTGACTGTAAGAAGAGCTGTTCAGCAGTGGAACTCTCTGACTCAGAGTGTAGTCGAGGCTCCTTCCTTGGAGGCTTTTAAGCAGAGGCTGGATGGGCATCTTTTGGGGGTGCTTTGATGGTGCTTTTCCTGCATGAAGGCAGAAGGGGGTTGGGCTAGATGTCCCATGTGGTCTTTTCTAACTCTAGAGAAGACACACACACAGAGGCTTGTGTGTTGTGCCTTATAGGACCATAGGGTCCTAGAACTGGAAGTTAGCCTCATGTGACATGCAGTCCATTCCCCTCCAGAAAAAGAGAGATAGATACATGCAGAGATAGATAGCTAGATAGATAGATAGATAGATAGATAGATAGATAGATAGATAGATAGAGAATTACAATAGATAGATAGATAGATAGATAGATAGATAGATAGAATCAAAGATAGATAGATAGATAGATAGATAGATAGATAGATAGATAGATAGATAGATAGAATGCAGAGAGTTACATAGATACATAGACAGATAGAAGCATATTTAGATGGATGGATGGATGGATAGATAGATGCAGAGATAGATAGATAGATAGATAGATAGATAGATAGATAGATAGATAGATAGATAGATAGATAGATAGAGGGAGGAATAGATAGATAGATGCATAGGTAGATTAGAGGGAGGAATAGATAGATGCTCTTCCGCTGCGCCTTTGGTGAGTAGGTGCACACCATGACATTTTGCACCCCTCAACGCTTTTCTGTTACTGGAGTTCGCACCCCCCAAATAGGAAGTTCAACCTTATAAATCCCCATAAATGTCTTGCAACTTTTTTTTTTGAATCCAGTTATATTAAGTTTTACAAATACTTAAAAAAGAAAGATTTACAGGGTAAGTGGGGGAACATTTGGTTATAGGATAGTAGGAAATTTTAGAAATCATCATAAAGAAAAAGAGAGAACAACAACCCCACCAAAAAAAGCACAACCCCCCAAAAAGAACACCAAAAAGAACACCAAAAAAAAAAACACCACACACAACACATTAGATTTGTTTGACTTCCATTCTGTGTCTTTGCTTATAATATATTTCCGCTTTTTCAATTTTGAATTGTCTCTTCTCATTTTCTTCTACCCTCATATATCTAGGAAGTCTTGAGAATAATTTTGTTATTATTTGTCCTCTTGACTTCTTTCCTTTAAATACTTTTCAAACGATGACCGGTTTGTCTCTTTTATTTGTTTTCCTGAGCTCTTCTTCTTCAAAAAAAAAGGTTAATTTGTCCATATCTTTGATCTCCTGCAGCTTATTTGTCCACTCTTCTGTTTCCGGAATATTGTCCATTTTCCAAATTCTTGCGTATGATATCCTTGCTGCCGTCGAGATATAAGTAAATAAAATATCCATGTTTGGATTTAAAATAAGATCAGAATCCGTAATATTTAATAAGTAATATTCAGGTTTTCTTGGGAAAAGATATTCCCAATATTTTTTGTGTTTCTTCATGTATATTTTTCCAATAATTTTGAGCTTTCTTACAAGACCACCACATATGAAAGAAACTACCCTCTACCTCATGGCATTTCCAACATTTTTGTCCATATTTTTATACATTAATCCTATTTTTTTTGGTGTGACATACCATCGATGAAACATCTTAAGCCAATTTTCTTTTAAATCCATTGCATATGTATATTTTAACTTCTTATTCCAAATTATTTGCCATTCTCTCAAATGAATAGGTCTTCTTATATTTTCTGCCCATCTAACCATGCAGTTTTTTATTAGTTCAGTTTCAGTTGACCATTCCAGTAATTTGTCATAGATTTTTGTTATTATTTTTTTCTCTGTTTGAAGGATTTTGTCCCAGGTTGTGACTTTCAAATTGAAACCAACCTTTTTATCTTGTTTATAATAATCATTTATTTGCATATAATGTAGCCAAGTAATATTTTTAAATTATTTTTTAATATTTTCATAAGATTTTAGGGTTGTTGTATTATTAATTAATAAATCCTTATATGTTGGCCATAACATCCAACCCAGCAGTCTCCTCTGGTTCACTTCCATGGGAGATATCCACAGTGGAGTTTCCGAGTAGAAATTTTCTTTATACTTTAACCATGTCCTCAATAGCGCCGATCTTATAAAGTGATTGCCAAAACCTTTTTCCTTCTTCTCACGATTATACCAGACATAAGAGTGTCATCCTGCCCTTAAATCAAAGCCTTCTAGGGAGAGTAACTTCTCATTTTTTAATTTCATCCACTCTAGTATCCATAATAAGGCACTCGCTTCATGATATAAACTTAAGTTTATGTCTTGCTCCTTTTTTATCTCATCACAGTTTTTAAATTGTTTTATCCTGTGCATGTGGCCCGCCCATTGTTTTCGTTATTGCTATCGTGATTGTGTTTATTAGAATGTTATTTTAAGATTGCTTTTTTCTTATTATTATTAATGTACTTTGATGATGTTGTCGTTATTTGTTTGTTTTTTATGCTTAGATTTTATTGCTGTAATATGTTGCCCCATGTAAGCCGCTCCGAGTCCCCATTGGGAGATGGTGGCGGGGTATAAATAAAGTTTATTTATTATTATTATAGGTAGATGCAAAGACAGATAGGTGCACAGATAGATGCATAGATGAATATGCTGCACATATGAATATACTGTAGATCAGTGGTTCTCAACCTGTGGATCCCCAGGTGTTTTGGCCTACAACTCCCAGAAATCCTAGACAGTTTACCAGCTGTTAGGATTTCTGGGAGTTGAAGGCCAAAACATCTGGGGACCCACAGGTTGAGAACCACTGCTGTAGATAGATGCACAGATAAACAGATGCATAGACAGTTACATAGATACATAGACAGACAGACAGAGACAGAGATAGATAGGTAGACAGACAGACAGACAGATGCAGTTACATAGATGCACAGATAGATAGATAGATAGATAGATAGATAGATAGATAGATAGATGCAGAGATAGATGGATGGATGGGTGGGTGAGTGGGTGGATGGATGGATGCAGAGACAGATAGAAGATGTTGGGAATGACTGCTCTTGCCTGGCAGGTACGCCCCCATTGGCATCCTTTTCCTGATCGCCGGCAAGATCTTGGAGATGGAGGACCTGACGGTGATGGGGGGGCAGCTGGGGATGTACACACTGACGGTCATTGTGGGGCTGCTGATCCATGGCCTCTGCGTCCTGCCCCTCATCTTCTTTGTCATCACCCACAAGAACCCCTGGCGCTTTGTGGCCGGGCTCCTGCAGGCCTTGGTTACCGCCATGGGCACCTCCTCCAGGTGAGGATTCCGCTCTAGGGCTCATCAATCAATCAATCAATCAGTCAATTGATCAATCAGATTTTATTACAGTTCAGATAAACAGTTGGCTCAGCAGTAAAAAGATGCACAACTGCAATCAATAGTTCAATAGTTGATAAAACGTAGTACAACGTGCGATACAAGATGGATATGAACAAAGGTGTAAGAACACTGCAAAATAGGTACAGGATCAGTTGCAGCCTGTGCCTAATACAGGAAGTTGTCTTATCCTGGCTACTTTCTTCTTCTTCTTCTTCTTCTTATTATTATTATTATTTCCAAATAATGTAATATTATCTATTTAATATTATTCTTTTATTTATTTATACAATCGTTTGTTATTTTTTTATTTTTTCATCTATTTTTTATCTTTTATTTCATTTTTTCCTATTTTTATTTTATTTTTAAATGTCATATACTATTGTTTTATTTCACATTAATTTATTAGTTATTTATTCGTTTTATTTCACATTATTTTATTTGCAAAATAATTTAATATTATTTTATTATCATCATTATTATATTTCATATTATTTTATTTGATAAATTATTTTATTTTATTATTTATTTTATTTTATTAAACATTATTTTAATGAACTAGCTATCCCCTGCCACGTGTTGCCGTGGCCCAGTCTTGTGACCTGGAAAATAAAGTAATGAGAAAGTGTTGGTTTCTAATATATGTAATGCTTGTGGGTTAAAAGTATTTCTTCTTGTTTCTTTGTCTGTTGATGTGGAGAGTGTCTGGTTTACCTACTCTGGAAGATACAAAATATATTGTCCTTCTTTAGGGGTCCCTTACAAATCAATGATACTATATCTCTCTGTGTGTGAATCCTATCTATTTATATATCTATGGCTGGATGGATCTTTGTCAGGAGGGCTATGATTACGTTTTCTTGCCCTGGTGAAGGGAGTTGGACTGGGTGGCCTTAAGTATTTTCTGTTGGTCATGGGGGTTCTGTGTGGGACGTTTCCCCCAATTCTGTCATTTGTGGCGTTCTCCGTATGGAGAGAAAAAGTGGGATATAAATAAACATAATCTATATAAATAAAAATGTAATGTTCATTTGTGGGATTAACATAACTCAAAAACCACTGGACGAATTGCCGCCAAATTTGGCCACAAGACACCTACTAACCCAAGGAGTGGCCATCACTAAAAAAAAATTGAGTTTGTCATTTGGGAGTTGTAATTGCTGGGATTTATAGTTCACCTACAACCAAACGGCATTCTGAACTCCACCAGTGATGGAATTGAACCAAACGTGGCACACAGGACTCCCATGACCAACAGAAAATACTAGAAGGGTTTGGTGGGCATCGATGTTGAGTTTGGGAATTGTAGTACACCTACATCCAGAGAGCACTGATGGATCTGGACCAAACAATGATGGATCTGGACCAAACTTGGCAGGAATATTCCATATGCCCAACTAGGAACACAGATGGAGCTTGGGGGAAATAGACCTTGACATTTGAGAGTTGTAGTTACTGGGATTTATAGTTCTCCTACAATCAAAGAGCATTGTGAACACCACAAACGATAGAATTGGGGCGAACTTCCCACACAGACCAAAAGAAAATACTTAAGGCCATCCAGTCCAACTCCCTTCACTACGGCAAAAAAAACGTAATCAAATACTGTTTACCCACAAGCATAAATAAATTACATCTATTTTAAACCAACACTTTCTCATTACTTTATTTTCCAAATCACTAGACTGGGCCACAGCAACACGTGGCAGGGGACGGCTAGTAGTAGTAGTAGTAGTAGTAGTAGTAATAATAAATTTATCATGTCGAAGGGACAATCTCCCAGGTGCAGTTGAACCAGTAAGGAGGCATCCCTGCTGTCCTCCATTTATCCATTTACAGAGTTTAGTTCATGGATCAACTGATCCTCACTTCGATTGCCAAAGTGTCCATATTATCATGCTTTGCGGTTTCTCTATTTTGTAATAGTCCTGCTCCCCTGAATCCCCATGGGGAGATAGGGCGGGATAGCAAGCAAATTTTACTTACGTACTCATTTTTTTGAGCTTCTTTTCTAGCTCAAACACTTACATTTACTACAAAGTCATTTTGGGTCACTGCAGATGATTAGCTTTCCCATTCAAATACTTGCTTTACCACACCGTTCTGTTGTCGTTTCCCAGCTCGGCCACACTGCCGGTCACCTTCCGCTGCCTGGAGGAGAACAACGGGGTGGACAAAAGGGTCACCCGGTTCGTGTTGCCCGTCGGGGCCACCATCAACATGGATGGGACCGCACTTTATGAGGCCCTGGCCGCCATCTTCATCGCACAAGTCAACAACTATGAGCTCGATTTCGGGCAAATCATCACCATAAGGTAGGCATTTGTATTGGGTGTGGAATATTATTGCTTCAATCGTCTTGCAGGTCCCAACTGCTTGAGTCCCAGTTAGCCGAGAACCTCCTGTTTTGGGGTATTTAGCATTTGATGGGGTTAAGAAGCAGCATTGTCCTCCTGAGAAGGGTTTTTGAGGACATAATTTTTAGGGGTACACTCTGGGATGGCACACTTCCCCCATATTGGGAGAATATACATACATAAATACATACATATCTATATAAATAAAAATGTAATGTTTGTTTGTGGGATTCACAGAACTCAAAAACCACTGGACGAATTAACACCAAATTTGGACACAAGACACTTAACAACCCAATGTATGTCCTTCACTCAAAAAATTGATTTGGTCATTTGGGAGTTGTAGTTGCTGGGATTTATAGTTCACCTACAATCAAAGAGCATTCTGAACCCCACCAACGATGGAATTGAACCAAACTTGGCACACAGTTCTCCCACGACCAACAGAAAATACTGGAAGTGTTTCGTGGGCATTGTCCTTTGGTTTTGGAGTTGTAGTTCACCTACATCCAGAGATCACTGTGGACTCAAACAATGATGGATCTGGACCAAACTCTACACGAATACTCAATATGCCCTTTGTGAACACTGGTAGAGTTTGGGGAAAATAGAATCTTGACATTTGGGAGTTGTAGTTGCTGGGACTTATAGTTCACCTACAATCAAAGAGCATTCTGAATCTCACCAACGATAGAATTGGGCCAAACCCTCCACACAGAACCTCCATGTGGGCCACAGCAACGCATGGCAGGGGACGGCTAGTAAATAATAATAATACATAATAATAAAGTCAGAAGAGACTGCATGGGCCATCCAGTCCAACTCCTTTCTGCGTTCACGCAGGAAAAGCACAATCAACGCCGACAGAAGGGAAGGAGGGAGAGAAAGAGGGAGGGAAGGTTGGCCACAGCAACATGTGGTGGGTACATGTTATGTATGTATGTAGATATGTATGTAGTGCAATTGATTTAAAATGTTTCAAAAGTCATTACAAAATTACGGAGCACCGACATTTTGTTTCTTAAGTGTTTCTAAAGTATTGTTAGTAAAAATTTAGTTACCATGACAAGAGTAATGAAATTTCATTACTTTTCGTTATAGTAATTGCACAAGCGGGGGAAACTTCAGGAGCTCCTTTCTCCCTCATTCTGACAACTATTGGGGTGAAACTTGCTACAATGGTAGAACTCATTTACCACTGTGAGCCCATCAAGTTTCAGAAAGTTTCACTTATCCACGGGGAATTTTCAAAGCTTTTATAAACAACGCAAGGTAATGGGATAATTCACCCAAACTTTCAGAATTGTTCATACATCTTCTGATTTTAGGGAATTTTTAAAAAGTTTTTACAAAAAAAATTAAGTCACAACAGCTACCTTATTGAATCTCTCTCTCTCATGTTAACCAACTAGCGGTGTGTGAATGGCTGGATGGCCTTTTGTCAGGAGGGCGTTGATTATGTTTTCTTGCCCTCGTGAAGGGAGCTGGACTGGATGGCCTTAAGGCAGCACTTCTCGACCTGGGAAGTTAAGACCCCGGGGGATAGTCACGGGGGGGGGTGTCAGATGGGTCACCAAAGACCACCAGAGAACACAGTATTTTCTGTTGGTCATGAGGGTTCTGTGTGGGAAGTTTGCCCCAATTCTGTTGTTGGTGGGGTTCAGAATGCTCCTTGATTGTAGGGGAACTATAAATCCCAGTAACTACAACTCCCAAATGTCAAGGTCTATTTCCCCCAAACTCCATCTGTGTTCATATTTAGGCATATTGAGGATTCGTGCCAAGTTTGGTCCAGATCCATCATGGTTTGAGTCCAGAGTGCTCTCTGGATGTAGGTGAACTACAACTCCAAAACTCAAGGTCAATGCCAACCAAACTCTTCTAGTGTTTTCTATTGGTCAAGGGAGTCCTGTGTGGGAAGTTTGGTTCAATTCCATCGTTGGTGGAGTTCAGAATGCTCTTTGATGATAGGTGAACGATAAATCCCAGCAACTACAACTCCCAAATGACAAAATCCTAAATTTTTTGAGTGATGGTCACTCCTTGTGTTGTGAGACATTTTGTTGCCAAATTCAGTGTGATTTTGTTCATTGGTTCTTTTGTTTTTAAAGTACTCATTACGCACAGAGCATTTATATATATATATATAGATAGAACTCCCATCCGGGGATTTCTTCCCGCCCCAGCACAGAGACTGACTTACTAGAAGTCTCAGCTAGTCCTCCTCTTTGCAGATTCAACCATTCATTGGAACTCTGGCTGGCTGCTGTGACGGAGGGAACAAATCTCTCCCCTCTCCTGGATTGGGGCTTCCTGATGCTGATCACATTTCTGGGAAGTGTAGTTTAAAGCAGGGCCCTTTGAATTCTCTGGCCTCCTCACCTTCCCAAACTACATTTCCCAGAATTCTGTGCTTCTCAGTCTCTTTCCCAGCTCACTTAGCTCCTCCCGCCCTGATGCTTTCCTCACTACATGTTGAGAGGCAACCTCTCTCTTTTTAATTTAAAGAGGAAAGGCAGCCTTTTTGCCTTTGCTTTGCTTCCTTGCGCTGAACATGAAACTGACTGAGGCTTCCAAGGTTTACAAAACGCAAACAAAAAAGTATTGGGCAAGTTTCAATTCTTAATTTTTTGGCATGGGTCAAGCCCGTGTGTCAGACAATGCCTTGTAAATTCGAATTTAATTAATTTGATACAACTTATGATGACTATCAAAAAATGGCAGACTTCATGTGTGTGTGTGTGTGTGTTTGTTTGTTATTTGAGGAAGAGAAGGAAAAGCAGAAGGAAAAAGGTGGGAAGAAAAGAAAGGAAAAAGGGGGAAAGGAAGGAAATCCAGAAGGAAAAATATGGAAGAAAAGAAAGGAAAAAGGAAGAAAGGAAGGAGAAGGAAAAGAAGAGAAGAAAAGAAAGGAAGAACGAAAAAGGAGAGAAGGAAGGAAAATGAGAAGGAAAAAGGAYGAAGGATGGAAAAGGAAAGAGTAGAGAAGAAAAGAAAGGGAGAAGGAAAAGGAAGGGAAAGAAGGAATAAAAGAAAAAGGAGGGAAGGAAAGAAAGGGAGAAGGAAAAAAGGAGGAAAGGAAGGAACAAAAGAGAAAAATTAGGAAAGGAAGGAAAAGGGAAAAGGAGGGGTGGAAAGAGAAAATGGGAATGAGAAAGAGAAGGAAAAAGGAGGGAAGGAAAAGGAGGAGGCAAAAGGAGGGATGAAAAGAGAGGGAGAAGGAAAAAAGAGGTAAGCAAGGAAAGAAAAGGGAGGGAAGGAGAAGGAAGGAACAAAAGAGAAAGGAGGGAATGAAGGAGAATTAAAAAGGGAAGGGAAGAGAAAAAGAGCATGAAAGAAAGGAAAAAGGAGGGAAGGAAGAGGAGGAGGCAAAAGGAGGGAAGAAAAGAGAGGGAGAAGGAAAAAAGAGGGAAGCAAGTAAAGAAAAGGGAGGGAAGGAGAAGGAAGGAACAAAAGAGAAAGGAGGGAATGAAGGAGAAGTAAAAAAGGAAGGGAAGAGAAAAAGTGCATGAAAGAAAAGAAAAGGGAGGGAACGAGGGAACAAAAGTAAAAGGAGGGAAGGAAGGAAAGAACACAAAGAGAGCCATGTTAACATGGAGACAATGTGAGGTTGGACCGCTCAGAGCTAGAGAAGAGAGAAAGTATTCCTTCTGAGTTCTGGAGAAGGGAGAAAGGAAAGGAAAGTGAAAGAATGGAAAGAAGAAAATAAGGGAAAGATTGGAAGGAAATAAGAGAAGGGCAAAAGGTGCGAAGGGAGGGAAAGAAAAAGAAGGCAGGCTTTTAAACCCCTCTGATAACAAGGCAAGGCCAAGTTTGTAAGCTAAAATGTGTTAAAAGTCAGGCTTGGGGGGCCCTGTCTGAAAACCCCTTTTTCTCTCTTGCAGCATCACGGCCACGGCAGCCAGCATCGGGGCAGCCGGCATCCCGCAAGCGGGCCTGGTGACCATGGTGATTGTGCTTACCTCTGTGGGGCTGCCGACCGAAGACATCACGCTGATCATGGCCGTGGACTGGTTCCTGTAAGTGTAATTTTACAATTCCAAGCCACACAACAAACCACATATTTTAAGTCCTAAACCTGATTGAGGGATGGTGACGATGGTAGCGGTGGAGATGGTGGTGATGGTGATTATGATAATAATTTTATTTCTTACCCATCTCTCCTTGTGGCTAGAGGCGGGTTACATGATGATGGTGATGACTGTGATGGTGATGATGGTGGTGGTAGTGATGGATGATGATAATAATAATTGTATTTCTTATCCACCTCTTCTCATGGCTTGAGGTGGGCTACATAGTGATGGTGACGATCGTGATGATGATGATGGTTGTAGTGACTATGACAATGATGATGGTGCTGGTGATGATCGTGATGATGATGATGATGGTTGTGGTGGTGACTATGACGGTGATGATGGTGCTGGTGATGATCGTGATGATGATGATGATGATGATGGTTGTGGTGGTGACTATGACGGTGATGATGGTGCTGATGATGATCGTGATGATGATGATGATGGTTGTGGTGGTGACTATGACGATGATGATGGTGCTGGTGATGATCGTGATGATGATGATGATGGTTGTGGTGGTGACAATGATGGTGATGATGGTTGTGGTGGTGACAATGACAGTGATGATGGTGCTGGTGATGATCGTGATGATGGTGGTGGTGATGACGGTGGTGACAACGATGGTGGTGCTGGTGCTGTTGGTGTCAGTGACAATTATAGTGGTGGTGATGATGTGATGCTGATGATGATGCTGATGACAATGATGATGATGGTGACAGTGTGGTGGTGATGATGGTGCTGGTGACAGTGATGGTGGTGATGGTGCTGATGATGATGGTGACGATCGTGCTGGTGCTAGTGACAGTGGTGATGATAGTGCTGGTGATGACGATGATGACAATAATGACGACGGTGGCGATGGTGATGTGATGGTGTGATGACGGTGATGGTGGTGACAATGATGATGGTGCTGATGGTGATGATAGTGATGACAATGATGGTGGTGATTATGATGATGGTCGTGATGCTATAATAATCCCATCTTCCCTCATAGAGACCGCCTGAGGACCACCATCAACGTCTTGGGGGACTCCTTGGGGGCCGGCATCGTGGAGCACTTGTCCCGCCATGAGCTGGAGCTGCACGACTCGGAGCTCAGCAACTCAGTCCTGGAGGAGAACGAGAAGCCCTACCACCTGATCTACCAGGAGAGCGACGGCCACAAGCCCCTCGGCGGCGAGACCTCCATGTGATACAGGCTGGGCACCATCCCTCCAAGCACCATGACTTTTAAGAGAGAGGAAGCTGAACGAATGAATGAGCCCATTTCCTTCCCGCATCTCTCTTTGTTCTTCCTTGAACGCTGCTGCAAAAAAGCCGAAACGAGCCAGAGGAGGGAAATGAAACCCCAAATCCTGGGACAGAAATTTTGCTCTCCTCCCGACTTATTTAAACCTTGTGCCAATTATAATTATCACCATTATTATTATTACTATTATTATTGTTTGTGGCCAATGGTTTCAAACACTCTTTATAGCACTTATAAGGAAGCCAAGCCAAAATGGGGCCGATTTTGGGGTTAACAGGGGTGCCTTTGTTGGGATCTCAAGGGTTGGTTCTTTGCAGAGATGCTCTTCAGAGTATCCGTATAGTAAGCGAATGAACCATCCGGAGTTTGGGGTAGACTGCTCTCGGCCATGGATGCCCCATTCAGCCGGATTGGGATTGCTCCTTCCTCTTCTGTGCCTTTTCCCCATGCTTCCTGGGGGAGAGGCATGCCATGTATTTGTTGGTAGGGCCAAAGGGTGAGAATCCTGGCTTTACACATAAGTGCATGAAATAAAAGCACTTCCACACACACACACACACACACACACACACATATTGAATTGCACAGGTGGAGGTTATTTTCAAGCCTTGGAAAGTCTCATAGTATAGGATTGTCTGACTCTATAGCCCTATTTCTCCACGAGCCTTCTAATGTCTATGAGGTTGGATGGTCATCTTTCGGGAGGGATCAAATGGTGTCCAGAAAAGGCAGAAGTGGGTTGAACTGGTTTCTTTTCCACCTCTAGAACTGTAAGATTCTATAGCCCTATTTTCTCCATGAACCTTCCAATGCTTATTAGGTTGGATGGCCATCTGTCAGGAGGAATTAGATTATGTCTTCCTCAACGGAAGAAGGATGTTGGGCTGGATGACCTTTGGGAATCTCTTCCGACTCTAGCATGGTATGATTCCACAGCCCTGTTTCTCCACGAACATTGTAATGTCTATGAGGCTGGGTGGCCATCTGTCAGGAGGGCTTTCATGGTGTCTTGGCAGGATGTGGTTGGATTGGATGGCCTTTGGGGAGTCTCTTCCAATTCTAGGACTGTATGATTCCATAGCCCTATTACTCTCTATGAACTTTGTAATGTCTATGAGGTTGGGTGGCCATTGGCCATCTGTCGGGAGGGCTTTGATTGTGTCTTCCTTAATGGCAGAAGGGAGTTGGACTGGATGGCCCTTAGGGGTCCCTTCCCACTCTAGGAATTGCTCTGCCTTTAGGTATTAGGACTTTGTTCCAAAGCAACACAGTATATTATTTGCTCACAATGCAGTCCATGATAGTCGATGCTCGGCGACTGAGCCGCCTCCATTGCCTTTGTGTATTCTTTTCCCAAGCAATATTTATTTGCATTGTAAGAACAAGAGCAACTCTTATGGAACAGACCACCTCCGTATTATGTTTTCTTCCCTCTATTTCTATTTGAAACAGCTCTGATTGTGATAAAGAATAAAGTGAGATTTTAAAACTGGATATCAGAATTCAAGAACATTGAATTAGGCTTGTTGTTATTTGTCTTACTTTGCTCTTCAGGACCATATTTCAATATGAATATCATAGTCACAGAGTTGGAGTCCAACAAAATACTGTATTCATCGTATAATAGTCGCACTTTCCCCCCTTTTCCCTCATCAAAAAGGGTGCGACTATTACGTGAGGAAAAAAATATAGCAGTTGATTCTCTAGTTTCTGTGTGTTTTTTCAAAAAAATTAAAATGCTTTAACTTTAAATGGGGAGGAAGAAGAGGAGGGATGATCCAGCCTCAAACAGACTACAGAGTCATTTGCAGCTGATTCTCTCTGACTTACCTACCTACTTCTTTCTCCAAATGCAACGCAGTCTGAAAACTATAAAATCGAGGTTTCTGGAGCTCTGCTCTTTCTTTCTTCCTCCTTCCTAAGAAAGAAAGGGCTGTTTCCAAAATCTGAAATGGAGCTCTTTGGAGAAAGGAGGAAAGAGGGAAGATCTGGGTTCCAAAGATCTCCATTTCAGGTGTTCTAAACTGCCGTAAAGCCTTAAAGGAGGAGGAAGAAAAATGGAGCTCCAGAGACCTCAATTTGATAGTGTTGCACTCTAGCCTTGAGACACTTTCACCCAACACCATTTACTTACTTAGGCGATCCCTCGTAGTCCGAGGATGATGGTCCTCCAAGGTTGGTGTTCTGTTGGTGGGTCCGTAGGTGACTGTGGAGCCCTATTTTTGATCTGCATCTTCTCCCGCAGTAAGGGCATAGGTTTCCAGACGGAAGGCAGTCCCGGCTGGGGTTGGCATGAAGCGCCTTCCTCTTGGCACGTTTCTCTCTTTCGCCCTCCATTCGTGCCTCTTCAAACTCCACAGCACTGCTGGTCACAGCTGACCTCCAGCTGGAGCGCTCAAGGGCCAGGGCTTCCCAGTTCTCAGTGTCTATGCCAGAGTTTTTAAGGTTGGCTTTGAGCCCATCTTTAAATCTCTTTTCCTGCCCACCAACATTACGTTTTCCCTTCTTGAGTTCGGAGTAGAGCAACTGCTTTGGGAGACGGTGGTCGGGCATCTGGACAACGTGGCCGGTCCAGCGGAGTTGGTGGCGGAGGACCATCGCTTCAGTGCTGGTGGTCTTTGCTTCTTTCAGCACACTGACATTTGTCCGCTTGTCTTCCCAAGAGATTTGCAGGATTTTCCGGAGGCAGCGCTGATGGAATTGTTCCAGGAGTTGCATGTGACGTCTGTAGACTGTCCACATCTCGCAAGCATATAGCAGGGTTGGGAGGACAATAGCTTTATAAACAAGCACCTTGGTCTCCCTACAGATGTCCCGGCCCCCAAACACTCTGCTTCATTCGGAAAAATGCTGCACTCACAGAGCTCAGGGGGTGTTGAATTTCAGTGTCAATGTTGACTGGTGGAGAGGTGGCTGCCAAAGTAGCAGAAATGGTCAACATTTTCTAATGTTACACCATTAAGCTGTATTTCTGGCATTGGAGCGGGATTGGCTGGTGACTGCTGGAAGAGCACTTTGATTTTCTCGATGTTCAATGAGACATCAAGCTTCTCGTATGCTTCTGTGAAGGTGTTTAGAGTGGCTTGTAGGTCTTCTTCAGAACACGCACAGACGACGTTCTCATCAGCATACTGGAGATCTATAATAGATGTTGTTGTAACCTTTTGGCTTTCAGTCTGCTGAGGTTAAATAGCTTGCCCTCTGTCAGATAGATGATTTCCTTTTAGGACAGGCAACTTTGAAAGGGAGCTGGAGAAGAGAGAAAGTTGCCCTTTAGATGATAAGGCAAAGATGGAAGGGAGAAAGGGAAAAAGTTTCCCTTTGAGGACAGGCAACGATGGAAGAGAGCTGGAGAAGGGAGAAAGTTGTCCTTTAGATGACAGGCAAGGATAGAAGGGGAGAAGGAAGAAAGTTGCCATTTAGAGGATAAGGGAAAGATGGATGTGAGTTGGAGAAGCAAGAAAATAGCCATTTAGAGGATAAGGCGATGATGGAAGGGAGCTGGAGAAGAGAGAAAGCTGCCTCTGAAGATAGGAAAAGATGGAAGGGAGCTGGAGAAGGGAGAAAGTTGCCATTTAGATGATAAGGCAAAGATGGAAAGGATAAAGTTTCCCTTTGAGGACAGGTAATGATGAAAGGGAGGAAAAACAAGGTGAAGTCGCATAGCGATGAAGATGGAGAATAAAGTTGGGGCAATAACACATCCCTGTTTGACGCCTGATTCCACCTTAAATGGGTCGCTTTGGGAGCCATTGCTGTCCAAGACTGTTGCCATCATGTCATCATGGAGGAGCCGCAGGATGTTCACAAATTTGTTAGGGCACCTGATTTTTTGGAGGATGGTCTCCATCTGTTTATTAAGAAAAGCATGTACAAAGGGGGGAAAGGGAATTTTCCAAAGGAGCAGTAGAAAATGAGCTATAAAATAGCAGTAGTCCATGTACAAAATAGCAGTAGTCCAAAAACGGCAAGGTATATGAAATCAAGGAAGCCAAGATCACAGGCACAAATCCATAACCATGAAAGCTGGAACTTTTCCCAAGGCAAAACTCTTTCAGGAACATAGGCATACACAGGAAATTTGAATCATGAGCTTGAGCGCTGAGATGGGAATCTGAAATCTTTTGGCAACGTTGTCTGCTCTGAGAGACACCAAGTAATCATTACTAAATTTAAGCCCAAGCCTGACCAAGAAGCCGTAAGATCATGCCTCACAAACCTAGGTTTCAAGGATTTCTTACGGGAGTCTCTCTGAATGCCTAATTATTCTATCCTTCACTCCCTCCATCAGGAGATCTAATTTGATATCACGGGAAAACTCCCCATCAGCTGAAAACTGATTCCCAAGAAAAATGGACCTTTCACCAGTTTCCCTTTCCCCTGTTGCTAAGAAACAAACACTGGAATCCAAAACATCCTCTGTCTCATCTTCAACTGCCTACACTGATCTAAGGCCTGCAATGCACTCTGATCACACACCCTCAGTTAGAAACCCATCACACCCT